ATCATTCCCTATTTTATAGAGGTAGAACCTGAAGCTTGGAGAAATCATCTATAAGTAATCTGTCCACAAGACCTGAGTCTCTCAAGATTATCAACTTATTTGGTTCAATGGCATGGATCACCCAAAAAAGCAGTCTAATGTATCTTATGATTTAATGTATATCCTCATGCATCTAAATACTTAAAACACTTTAAAATAATGAAACCATCTGAGCAACACTTGTCAACCATTAAAAAAATGTGAAATTTAAGCTTGTCAGTTTTGTAAAAACAATATTTTCTAATAATCCAAAAGGAACTTTTGCCCTAGAGTTTTGCTATAATGTTCTTAAGGGTTAGGAGATTACCTGTAGCTGAAAATATGAACTCCTTTGAGTACTTCAGCAATTAAATTCCCTACAGAATCAAAACATTCCCTGAATATATCAAATTCTGCCTACATGAACCATATTACATCAAGGTTTCAAAGCACTTAAATCCTTTGCTCAAAAAACTTTTTTACTGAGTCCCCCTATCATATGCGAAATACTCTTTTGATTAAAAGAATATAAAAATGATTAAGGAAACGATATCTACCACCAAGTAACTAATAGCCTTTGGATGTGACAATTACAATTTAGTATGACACTTCCAAGAGACTTATATCAAGTCCTATAGGAACACGCGGGAGAAGCACCAAAACCAGCTGGATCTGGTTAGAATATCCTGACCTAAGTCTTAAATAATAACCCACCAATACCAGCACTTTTCCAGCACAGGAGAAATTAAACTGCTGAGCCCATGCAGGGAACTCCAAGTTCTTAAATATGGTTGGAGGACTGAATATGAAGGGAGAGAAGGGCAAACAGTTCCGCTGGAGAAAAATTAAATAAAATAGATACAGAGGACTTACATGCCATGCTAGCTAACATTTTTTTGAGCACTTGCTATGTGTCAGCCAGGCAGGCATCCTACTAAACATTTTCTTGCATTTAATCTTCACAACAACCCACAGAGCTAAGAATAATTATCTTGCAATTGATGGAAGAGGCAAGGAGAGGATAGATCTGTCAATGTTACAGAGAGTTTAAGTGGCAGAGACAGAAATGGAACCCATTTCAAATTAAATCCTCAATGTGAGTTCATAAACTATCCACTCTCTGCTGCCTCTCTTAATGAAGGCTGCTAGGGGGAGCCATTGAAAGGTTTTGTAACTAAGGAGTGAAGTGATGAGATTTGTTCTTTAGAAAGACTGTGTGGAAAATGGATAAAGAGAGCGAGCCCAGAAGCAGAAAGCAGCTGCCCACGTCTCCAGTAACCCAGGTGAGAGGTAATGAGAACATAAAGTGTGGCAATGAGGATGAAGGAAACAGATTCAAGAGATTTTTCAGGAGAGAAAATTATCAGTTCTTAGTGATTAAATATAAATGGTTAGTTTGTGAGAATTCTGGCTTGAGGAACTAGTTGGGATGTGATATCACCTACCAGGAATAGATATGCAACAGGTGTTGTTTGTTCAATAAATATCTACAGTGTCTCCCAAATGCAAATCTGAAATTACAGTACCAGATGTTAGAAAATATTCTTGAGAACAAATGATAAAGCATTCAAAATAGAAGGTATATTGAAAATTAATCATTACTATTAACAGAACAGAGTCTAGTGAAAACAGTTTGTGGTATTTTTTTAAATACTACTACATGCAGAAAACAAGTCAGTAGAAAAGCATCCCACGATTTTACAATGTTATTACATTTGAGTTTGACAGACCTTCAACTCTTATACGACACACATACACCACCCTGTAATTTGTTTTACTTATTCCTCTCCCTCTAAATTTGTGGGGGAAGATATGTCTGTTTTATTACCCAAATTATAATACATATTTGGGGTTTTTTTTTTCATCCCACTATCACCACTGTGACTTGCCAAGAACTTAGTTCATAACCTCCTACTTGACTTCCTATAAAATATGACCTACTTCACATTAGCTTAATTCAGTAACAATTCCTAGACTTTAACCACACACCTTTCATCCAAGGATGCCCTCTGCAAATCTTAAAGCACAGCAATCCTGTGCAGATGTGGCAAGTTGTTACAATTCCCGTTTTACTACATAGTTAGGAAGTTGGCCCAGGGGAAGTAGAGTAACTTGGAAATAATCACAAAACCTGATGCCAAAAATAACAACTTTTAGCCAATCCATGAGAAAATACTGCCCCTAGTTGAAATAACATGAAAATCGGTATTAGGAGAAAGCAAAATACAAAATAATGTTTTAAAGCCAAGTCCTAGGTTCTTAAAATTTATTTTTAAAAAACAACCAAATACTAGAATTAAGATGTGCAAGAACTTTCAAACACACCATTTTTCCCTCTAATACTTTATCCATCTACAGTGCCAAAAAATGACTTAATGAATTACAGCTGGCAAAAATGACTCCCCCCAAACCATTTTTTTTCTTAGCTACTTAAATGATATTGATAGAAATCTGTTAGTATAGGACAAGAGGTAACTTTTAAATGAACCTATCTGCTTAAAATCTAATACCTAGAAAAATATATTAGAATAGATGTAAAAATACTGCAAGTGAGCCTCATATTTTTTCCTGAAAATATACTCTCTGCAGACCCCCCATATGCATGAACAATAAACTTACAGCTTTACTCATCAATAATAATAAGACTCCCAACCACAGCTCATGCTGTATGTTTCTAAATATACTATTGTTTGATATAACTTAGTAAAGGCACTCTTTCACTTAGTCACAAAATAAAGGCTTTACACAATTTAGAAACAAAAAAACGATTTGTAAAAGTTGCTTTCATGGTGTTTGTGCCATCATTCTTACATGCCCAAGTCAGAGCAAAGTACCTTCCATTATTAAAGTATTTACACTCTGCTTATAGTGAGAAACAATACTATGCTCAAGATTTTACCTTCAAAAGAATTATACACTAAGAACATGTAAAGGAGATGAAAGATTAATTGGTAAAATTAATTTTGTGCAAATTTTCACAAAAGCCAGACATATCAATCATAAAACATGATTTTCTGTTAATTAAAATGCAAATCACAATGTTCTAATTACTAATACTAATCACAGCCTTCGGAAAAAAAATGCTTTCTGCTACGCCAACATTCCTCACACTAAATCTTGTATATCTTCTACCAATAGCACTTTACATGGACCTTTAGTTTATAAATGAAATAATATTCTATTTGATTTTAAGGGTAATATATCTTCTAAAAGTAATGATCAACTAGTCTGGGGCAGGCAGGACCTCCTGAACTATATATTCAGTCTAGAAATCCTGGTAGCACCAGAATATTCAGGTCATTCAAATACAGACCATCTTCCCCCTACTCACACCAACCCCAACTCCAAGCTTTTAACACCACCATGACAAAAGCACTCTGAACAATTTAAAACTCCTTTAACATCAGAAGTGCCTTTACCTTAAGACTATTACTTAACTGTCTTTTCATTTTATTTCATTAATGCATTCCACAAAGAGTCTAGAAGTAGTATTCATCAACCAGAAACTGCAGAATTAAGTGCTTTCAACTCCAAAGACGGGGCAGAAGGGTTCTCATAAACCTACAGAGCGAAGGCGCATAACTGTAAACTATCTGATGATTATAAAAAGTAAAACGTTTACATTAAATTCACAAGCAGGACGCCTTCTTTTTCTTACAAAGCAGGAGTCACTGATAAAATAACTAAACTCTACACGTAGAGTCTAGAAAACGCTGAAATTATCCGCCCCAACGTTCACAAGTTTGTAACATCAAAATTCACTAACTGCTGTTCAAATGAATATCCAATGTGGATATCTGAAACTATTCTCACACACTAACAGGAAAAAAAATAATAACCTTGCGCCCCTTCTAACCGTCCTACAAAACCCTCAGGTAACCCAAAAGCAAAGCTACGACAGCTGCCCTTGGCCTAGGCCGTCAGAAACCAAGGGCCCGGGGGGCAATAATCAAGAGACCCGATCTTTTTCCAGGGTTACTGTTTCCAAGCATAACAACCATGGGCCCAAAGAGACGCGAAGAAAACTGAAAACCTTGTAATCCCTTGGGGGAAGGGGGAGGGGGGGGGTGCGCGCGCGTAATCCCGAGAGAAAAAGGGTGCGGAGGGGAAGAGTGCCGGAGAAGGAAAAGTAAGTGTCCCCACGCATCTTTCAGATCCACAAAAACAACTAACAGTAGGGTCTGTCTGCTCGTACAAGCACCATATGGAGTCCCCTGGGCTGAGACAGTTCAGCCGACGTATCCAGTGGGTAGAGGATAAATCAACCGATGATGGGAGGGGAATAGTGGTGCCAAGAGAATAAGCCACTGGATGGGGAAGACAAAGCCTCTAAGGGTGATCAAGAACCAAAGAGGAAGGTGAGAGGGTAACACATGAGAAAAATAACAGGAGAAAAATTAAAAGAAAGAAATCTGGTGTCGGGGCTGTGGCAGGTCACTGAGCTACCAAATAGAGTGGGGCACAACAAAGGGGCACGGGAGGAAGGACAGCTGAGGGGAGGCGATGGAGAAGGGATGCGGGGCGCGATGGGTCGGACAAAGCGCCCAAGGCGGCGAAACAAAGGGCCGGGGGTAGAGAGTCGCGGGGGGCAACGGGGGAAGACAAAGCGCCCGGGGCCAGAGGCACCGGCCGGGCGAGGAGGGGACGACGGCCCCAAGGAACAAAGCTGCGCGGAGCTAGGAGGCTGAGCCCGCGGGAGG